GAAAGGAATGAATGAAGGAAGGAAGGAAGGAAGGAAGGAAGGAAGGAAGGAAGGAAGGAAGAAAGAAAGAAAGAGAAAGGAAGTCAGAGCACAATTATAATTATTTGCTTTTAGATGTATGTGTGTTTGTTGTGTGTGTGTGTGTGTGTGTGTGTGTGTGTGTGTGTTCCTATGCTAATGGGTAGATACACAAGCATATGTGACCAAGCACATAAAGACCTGAAGCTGTTTATGTTTTGTTTCTTTCATTTTTTTTTTTTTGAGACAGGATCTCTTTACAGTCCAGGTTGTCCCAGAATTTACTATGTAGGCCAGGATGGTCTCGTACTCACAAAAATCCACCTGCCTAGATCTCAGAGTGCCTATATTAAAAGTGTGCATCACTACTCCTGGCTTGGGTGCCCTTTTTCTTTGTTCTCTCCTTCACTTCTTGAGGCATGGTCTGCTAGTGAACTCAGATGCCAAATCTAGGTAGTCTATATAGCCACATCAAGAATCACCTGTATGTACTCTACAAACACTAGGGTTACTAGTGGCTACCACACAAACCTAGTTTTTGATGTGGATTCTGGGGATCAAAACTCCAATCCTCAGATTTGCCTAGCAAACAGCTAATTCACTGAGACAACAAACCAGCCAGCCCACAATTTGTTATTCTACAAAGTTACCATAACTTAGACAGAACATCAATCTTGGGTTTAGGGAAGCAGGAAAATCATGGAAGAAGTGAGGGAGGGGCAATGATCAAAATATACTGTATGAAAATTTTCAATTAACAAATAAACTACAATAAATACCTTAACCCACACCATATAAAAACTCCAGATCCTATGTCTGATGTGCATCAAATTTTCTGCTTACTTGCATTTCAGTTGTTATTTTGTCTCACAACTTTAAGCCAAATTCTTCACAGCCTAACTTTCTATTTCTGAGAAGTGGAATGGTAAATCAACATTTCCCAAAATATGTCCTCCATAACTCTCATTTAGAGAAGCTAATTTTGTACAAAAACATTTCTATGGCCAGTAGTTTGGAATGTGAGGCTAAAATACCATTAAACAAGACTGTTTTATTAAAAGACTCCCAAGAGACTGTTGACATAAGAAACAATTTTAAATTTCTCAGAAAAGATATAGCATGCAATGTCCTTTCAAAAATGAAATTTCCTATATTTTCACCTTCAATTGCTCATACCAAGTTAGTGAAAGTGAGACTTTAGTAACATATGTTGTGAGGGTTACACCAGGAGCTCACCAACCTTCATCTTATTGCCATGTATTCTACCATTGAATTTTCCTGGGGAGGAATAAGTATCTGCTCACTACATATAGGGTACTGAAGATTGTGCAAAGAGGCTCTTTCACTCTAGTGTATTTTAGTAAACCAATGCATTTATTGGTGTTACTCACAAGAACATAGATTATTCCAGGGTTGTTTATCACAGAAAAGAACACCACAGCAGTTGCATAGGAAGCTTCATCTTTGTAGTTTTCTACACAGTTTGCAGGTAGACCCTTGAGAGAGTCTCCTTTCACAGCAATTTCTTGATGTATTCCTAACCTTTAGAAGTAACCTTGTGAATCTTGTCACTTTCTGATCCTTGTAAGTTTCATCAACTTCCTGAGTCATTATGAGTTTCCCTTTCCCTTCCAGGAAAGATTATTTCAGTTCAGAAATAAAAGCTATACATTGAGTACACTATTAGCTACAAAAAATAACTATACATCTTTCTATACTATTTTATTAGATACCTATATTTTGGCAAAAATAATAAAGTAGTCAATACATATGAACTTTTAATTTTATTTATGTCTTAAAGGCTTAATTTTAATTTAACCATTGAATTCTTCCCATTATTCTTATTGGTTGTACAATGAGATCTGTATAAATCACATGTCTCTAAAGTCACAGAGTAAGGATTTATGCCTCTGAAACAGTTTCTCTTTAAAATTCAGAATCTATTTTGGACCATTCCAATGAAACATTACTTTGTGTAGTGCTCCATTCTAACTTCTTCTCTAAACTAAGAGGATGACAACAGGTGCACACAGGTTATAGGTCAATTCCAAGCTCCACTATTCACTAGCCTTATGATTAAGAAATAACTTTACATGTCTCAACTTTTTGTGTTCATGTGTGAATGAAATTCTTTTTATATAAGTTACATAACAAAAAGAACATTGTTGCAGATAGACCACTCAGACCAACTGAGAAATCACTAGCCTTCTTATTAACATCATAATTATTTTTAGTTTGTTTTGAAGACCATTCTGGCATACTTTGCTTGGTGCTATACTATAAAGTCATACAAAAAATTCATGATTGAGATTTGGATTTATATCATATTTTAATAAAATAGTATCAATTATAACACTTATCAGAAGAGTTAGATGTAATGGATCTTCTTCAGATAATAACTATAAACATTTTATTGGGGTATTATGGGGCTTGCAGTTTTGTTTTGATTTTTTGGAGTCTTTTTTCCCTAGGAAGGATTATAGATGAATTCATAGTAAGGTCCAGTCACAGAATATAAAATGATTCTCTATCTATATGTTAGAGATTGTTTTGTCAAATATCACTCCATATAGAATTCTATATAACTTTAGAAGTGAGAAGTGATCTGAGTCTTTGAATTAATCATAAAACTTTAGGACAGATGCATGGTTTTTAAGAAGTAGTCAGTCAGATATCTTTGCATCATTCTATATCATCTATTTCCTATTTGTTCAGTTCGTTATCAAGGGTGGTTCTAATTCCTTGTATGCATTAATTTGTTAATCCTTGTCTGAAACATTCAAATTTTCAAAATTTTGTCATTTGTTCCATTAAAAAAGAAATTTCAGATTGTTGTGTTTTAAAAATGATAGTTTCAGAGCAAACTGACAATTATTATTTCCTAAATTACTACTTGAATTATCAACATTTCATACATATTTTGAAGAATAATAAGTACTAGGTTTTGCCAGATGCCAAAAATGGGGAAATTCACTAGCCTATATTGAATGTATAAGTATTACAGTCCATGTCACCCTAAATTCTCTGTGAATTATCACTAGTTTCTAAGTACTGTTTTCAAAACATGTACCCTCTATCTTTGATTTCAAGTGTAGCTGGTTAGTATTGTTGTATTCTAGAGACATCAGAATTTAGGACATTTTGTCTTGAATTTTAAAACTTTTTGCTGTTGTTGTTAACCAGTTTTGATGGATTTTTTTTCATTCTTCATAAGGAATATAATTTTCTGAGAAGGCATGCTCTTTACATAAAAAACTAAAAGATTCCTTATGTATAGTTAATTCAAAAGACTAATTATGGAATCTACTTAAAGTAGTCATGACAATTATAGAATGTTAAAAGTTGGCAGAAGATACTCTTAAAATAAAGTTAATTTCATGGAATTTGTTCTTAATCAGTTAAGTGTTGATGGCAAGGTCTGACTTTACACAGATACACTGAACTTCTTTTACTTTCACACTATTGGTAAACAAGAATGAAGATCATTTAGATTCTCTTCTTTAAAACAGTATTTTATTTAAAGTCTCTCCGTGTGTATAAATTTTGTGTATGATCCCTTGGACTTTGAATTATGGAAATTTGTAACCCTCTATGTATCCACTGATATCTGAATCCTAGTCACCTGCAATAGCAGTAAGTTCTGTAAATTGCTAGGCCTTCTCTCCATCTGTCTCCTTTTCAAGTACTCTGGACATACCTTTACTGGACCTAGGAACATGCCTCTATGTAAAAGAGAATTCTTTGTTCGTTGCTGGGATCTGGAAAGTTTCACTGTTGCCATGTGGGTTTTCTATTGACTTTGTGAAATATGGTGTTTATCATCTCTGGTATGACAGATTGGGTAGAAAATTCCTTACTTATTATGTTCTCTCAAAAAAAAAAAAGTAACAAAATTTGCCCGGTGGTGGCACACTCAGGAGGCAGAGGCAGGTGGATCTATGTGAGTTCGAAGTCAGCCTAGTCTACAGAGCTAGTGCCAGGACAGGCTCCAATAGCTATACAAAGAAACCCTGTCTGAAAAAAACCAAAAATAAATAAATAAAATAAACACACACACAAATAAAATAAATACAGATAATGTTATGCTCTATGATGGCGGTCAGGTGCCATTGTCCTCGAAAAGAGGTAAAGCTTTTTTTACACTAGGTCTCTTCCTTTGCTTCACTGGCATTCACATTTTGGTACGAAAAGAATAACAAATATTAATGGATTAGGCCATTCCTAGGTAGGATTCTCCTCCGAGGGATGGCACTCTCTGTAGTTAAATATTCTTCAATAATCTGTCAGAAACGGGCTGTGCTGTGTAGCGCTGTTCATTTCTATATCTCATTTTGGATTGATGTACATGCACTTTTATATCCTTCAGTTCGATATAACATTTGGCCTTTCATGTTCTCAGTTTAAGCTACAGGGAATTCAAAGATATTTCAAAGTGTAATTATACCAATCTGCATATAAAAGGCTATATGTCCTACAGAGGGTTTTAAGGAAAAGCAAAGGCTTTCAAAGAAGAAAATTAGAAGTAATTCCCACAACTGAAAGTCACCAAAGTTAATGCATATTTCATTTGATGAGAGTATTTTATATTTTAAGCCAATATATTAATCCAGAAAATGGTGGGGATTTGTGTGTGTTGTGTGTGAGTGAAGTGATGAGGAATAGAGCAGAAGTGAAAACTGAGCAAACCAAAGAAACAGCAAGTGCACATTATATATGCTGTTTCGAAAAATAGCCACATCACACCAGAAAAGTCAATGCTTATATTACTTTAACAGACAATGAGTTTCTCAATTATCTATTGTATTAGATATATATTTTGCTAAACAAGACTTCTCCAGTATTTATCTCACAGTTTTGTGTGGTTTGGAATTAGTGCAGCTCAGTTAATGCCCAGCTGAAGTCGCTCAGATTTTCGGTCACGCTGTCTGCTGGGGAGCCTTCTTATCTGAAAGCTCAAGTTGAGAATTGGCTTCTGAGCTCAGTCATGAGGTTGTTTGCTTGCCTCCATCTTTCGTCAAATGAGCCTCTCCACGCAGCTGCATCCACAGCATTTCTGCAAACAGCACAAGAAACAAGCAAACGGTATACAAGGAGCTTCACAAAGGGGAAACCATAAATGCTGTTCTATCCTGATGTGGCAGAGATGTCCCCTGCCTCTTCCCACTGTGATTTCTCAGAGCTGGTTTGTTATAGTCCACCTCCCTTCAAGAGAAAGCTTTGAGTAATAGCAGCTGTCTCCCTTCATGTGTCTGTTCATGCAACGTCCTTTTTAGCCTTTTTTTTAAAAAATACAAATGACCTTTAAAGATAGAAGTCCTATAATGATTTTAAACTAAAGGAACATATTGTTATTTTTTAAACAAACACATCATCTATTTTTTTCAAACATATTGCTCTTCAAATTAAACTTTTGGAATTCAGAAAGTTTCTTACACTTAAAATGATTTAAAAGTGATAGGATTTTTTAAAGGTTTTTGATCTTTTGAGGAGGAATTAGCATTTAAGAAACCTCAGAAAAATAATTGTGTGATTCTGAAGCTAACAAAGTACTTAGCAGAGAAGTTGAGCAGCATATGGTTATGCTAGTCCCAAACAGTAAACTGTGTCTGCATGTGCCAATTCTTAATTACCAGCTCATTAACACACAGGTGTCAATTGCTGGTGGCAAAGGCAATACCCACATGGCCTAGTTTCTGTCATGCAAGGTGTAATTAAATTGACCTCCAGTGCTTTAGCTTGCTAGCTTCCTGTTACTATTTAGACACTAATCTCAGGTTTTTATCAAATTAGAACAATATAGCAAATAAAACCAATATATGAAAGAAAAAATCTATTTTGTGCTACTTTCCAAAATGAATCTTCATATAGAAAACTAACCTTAAAAAGAGTTGTCTAAATAACCATGAGTGCTAGATATAAAAAAACAACAAATAACAATGTCTATCATACATACTGATGTTGACAAGACCAGTCTACATTAGATAATAAGGGTATGGTTGTGGCAAAACAAAAGGAAAAAATAAATTACTGTAAATGTGACATTCAGATAAATTAACTGTGTGTGGTATGGCTCTCATTGTTGATATACAATGGAAATGCATTGTTTAGTTTTACATTTTGATTATTAATTCAAATGTTATTCCATCTCAAATATATCAACACTTTCCACTAAAGCCATATCAATAATAAAAGCTATACTAACAAGTATTTTATCTCTAAGGTTTCAATCTATGAGGAGTAGGATTATCTACTGATGGTATTCCATGGGTATCATGAGAGTTTGTTCTCTATGGAAAAAGTTCATTTTCAAGCTTCTGGCTAAAGGAAAAGAAGAGGTAAATTTTTGTACTAGCCTTTCTTCCTGTTAAAATTTTCCTAATGGAAAAAAAAAAGAAAAGAAAACCACAAGGAACAATGAAAAAAATGTGAGTAAGCCCTTCTTATATTTTGGAACCTTTGAAGCATGGATAGGTCTGCCTGACATAATAACATTGACACAAGTTAATTCTTAGTGACAAAAGGAGAAGAAAGAAGATATGAGATTTATTCCACAGGAAATCCCAAAGACTCAGAAACTGATGCAGCAAATTATCTGAAGAGTGAGAGTGAAACTAAACCAAAAGCAGGATAAAAAATACATATATACCATTAAGAATTCATTAGACCACCCACATGCACTCATCTCCCCCTCAGGTAGGTGATCAAGTGTTCACTCTAGTTGGAAGAAAGGCTTATCCTCTTGGAGTGTAACACAGACAATGCCTAGATTGTAAGATAGCAGGCACATTTTATTGTCTGATCACCATACTAGAAGTCTGAATATTAAGTCTCCCAGGTATCTTTTCCCAATTAACTTTCATAGCCCAAATACCAGGGTTATGTTTCTAGGTAGAAGATCTGAAAATTTTTCTCTCGAACATCTAACTTACTTAAGGAAATGTACCTAAACACAGAAATGTGAATTCTCTAATTAAATGATTCGGCTAAATGACTATATACTTACATACTCAATAAATGCTTTTCACTGATAGGTTACCATTTAAATTTTACTGTAAAGATAGTCAAATGATGCATTTCTATCCTTTAATGTTGGAATTACATCCAAGAGTTTATGTATTCCAGGAAATCTGTAGCATTGTATTATCTCCAATTATGTAACAATTTAATAATAATTCCAAAATTTAATATATTTCAGTAAAAACTGTACCATTGTGTTATCTCCATTTCTAAAACAATTTAATGATTTTGGAGCTTTCCAAGAAAGCTCCACTTTTTGTTGACATGTCTCTCATCTATACATTTAGGTAAATAGGAAGAGTGATTAATATGAAAAGAGATGACATAACTGTGTTAAAGAATAGGAAGGAAAACTTCCTAGAATTAACATAATAAAAGTAGCAATAAACTTTCATGTTCAGTGGGAGGTTGGATTATAAGCATATGATAAAATGAAAATCTTGATAAAAGACTAAAAGATAAACATGCAATAAACAGGACCAATATTATCTTAGAATGTAGACTTTGAAAATAGGTTAAAAAGTTAAAGAAGTTAGTAGAGGAAGCTCAATCTCCAAGTAATAAAGATCCTATGATTAAGAAAAATAAGCAAAGACTATGAAATAATCTTAAGAAAAATTTTAAAAACTTAAAGGTTTCTCGTATGTAGGTTCAAAGAATTTTCCAGTTGCCTTCAGTATGAGTTAAAATAGAAAGACAGCATGTTGACTCTTCTGAATCTAAGAATGGAGATTTAAGAGTGACAGACGACTCTGCTTCTCAAAAAGCCTGAGGATTGGTTATTGAAGCCAGCTCGGTAGTTCTGTTCTTGTGCCATTGTATTCAAATGGTCCTTCTGATTTTCAAGCATTTTATTCTAGTTATCATCAGCTATCAAACTGACACAGCCTAGAGAAGAGAATCTCATCTGAGGTACTGCCTACATCAGACTGGACCATGAGCATGTCTGTAGGGGATTGTCATGATTATTATTGATATAAAGTGGCAAAGCCCATTGTGGGAGGCATAGTCCCTATGCAGGCATTCCTGAGTTATACACAGAAGCTGCTAAGACTTAATATATAAGGCAGGGCAGTCTTCCATACCTTTGGCTTCTAAGTCTGGTTTTAGTTCTTGCCCTGACTTCTCTCCATGATGGACTGTGACCTAGAAGTGTAAGCTAAACCAATCCTTTTCTCCCTATTTTGCTTTTGATCAGGATGATTGATGAGTAACAAAAAAAATAAAAACCTAGGACATGTAACAAAAGCCCACACCCAAGGCTACCCATAGCCTAGACTTGCATGTCTATAAATGTCAATCATATATCTACATCCCTAGCCATTCAGCCATATTTTTTAATAAAGTTGTCGTCCTTGTCCTAGGCTTTTGTATCTTAAATTAAATGGCTTGTCATGTAGCTAGAATCTGGACTTAATTCAGATAGCAATAAACATCTGGACTTTGATGAAATAATATTGAACAACATGATTTTTGGGTCTGTCACAGTGATTATAATATCAGACAGTGGATATCATTACATGTACAATATAGAACACTTTTCAATCAGTTGAAGGACGGATATTTTATTGACAGTATTGATGACATCGACTTCATTTCTCAAAATAGACAATGTTGGATTGTACGTGTGTGTGTGTGTGTGTGTGTGTGTGTGTGTGTGTGTGTGAACAGGTGTGTGCAGGTACACACACACATTTGTGAATGTAGAAGCTATTAGTCAGCATGGCTTGTTTTCTGTCACGTTCTATTTTTTTTTTTTTGAGACAAAGTCTCTCACTGAACCTAAAACTTCTAAATTAAGTTAGACTTGACATGCTTGCCAGCAAGCCCTGTGGATTGTTCTATCATTTCTTCCACAGGTTAGGGATTACAGGTGTGTACCAACTCTCCTGTCTTTGTGCTGGTGATCGAATGTAGGTTGTCACTTTGTGTCACAAACACTTATAGTCTGAGCCATATCCCTGGACTCAGCAATGTTGAGCTCTTGAAAAGAAAACCAATCAAATTTCATGTGCCTAAACACAGTTTAACTGGCATCAATTATTACTTCCTTAGAGAATGTCCATTTAAATTTTGGAGTGGGAATATATACCATTCCCAGTGGAATCCATTGGCTGCGCCAGTGGCACATATGGCTCTCTATTATCTTTATTTTCAATGTCAAAGAATATTTATAAAATACATGACTTGAAGACATGATCTTCTTCCACTTGGTCATGCACCTACTTTTCATCCTATGGAGACATTTCTGATTTCTATAAATCTCAGTTCATCTTCAAGATATAAATTCCTATCAAGAGCCTTGATAACTGGCATAGTCAAGAAGGCATACAACAGTACTTTGCCAAATAGTTTTAGTTTTTTGTTTATTTGCTTGTTTGTTTTTACTTTTGCTTTTTCCCATGTGGGTAGAGGGATGAACATAATTGTTTCTTCTTTCTCCAGAATAGAAATGACCACCAATGTCTTCCTCATCTGTGTTTTAGGAAAACTGTTTTGTTCTGATCCTGAATGTGACCACAGTGACACTGTCTGGTGTTTTGTGTCCTCTCACATGTGTCAAGAGTATATGACTGACACTATTCTGTCTTTCTTGTCTGTCTATGCAGCATCAAATACATATGGGGTATCTGCTCCCATAATCTGAGGGTAGGATTTCTTCACTGACTATTGGTGTGAGTGGTTGATGATTTCCAGGACTCTTTTCATCCTTTCTTACTTTTCTTTGTGTATTTCACTAACTAAATTGAAATATCTTCAATTCTCTTGCACAGAAGTTAACTTGGATATTAAAACTTTCTGTCTTGGAGAGAAGCTCATTGAGACAAAGCATACATGCGGGAGGTAAAATAACTGGATGATCTAAGGCAGTGTTTTTTTATCATGGGAGTCTTAACCCCACAGGGTCTATATCATATAGGGTACATATCAGATATTTACATTATGATTTGTAACAGTACCAGAGTTATAGTTAAAGTAGCAACAAAATGAATTTGTGGTTTAGAGTCATCACAACATGAGGAGCTATATTAAAAG